CAGCAACAACAGCAGCAACAACAGCAGCAACAACAACAACAGCAGCATAACAAAAATGACAACAGCCACAACAGCAGCAGCAACAATAAATAAAACAAGAGAAAGTAATTGCAAGAGTTTGTATACTAAAACTAACCTGCTTTTCAAGCTTTAGTAAATCTGTCTGCTCTAAAATTTCATCGATTATTTTTTTGTCTAAATTCAAAAAGAAAAGAAAATGCCATATAAAAAACATCCCTTCCTGAAAACACACAGGGATCCCACCCAGTGATATTGTGCTCCTTAAAACATCAAGCTTTTTTTAAAAAAGGATGATAAATTTTCGTTAGTAGTTTAATTCTTAGTCTAGATTAAGTATATAATAATATATTTATGCACCGATTGAGTGAAATTCGACTACAAAATTTAAGGAAAAATCCAACCTTTAGCATCAGCAAACGTTTATGCAAAAAATCCTGAGTTTGTAGGCTTTACTTACATTTTAAGGTCTCACAAACTAGAGCGTACAAAATTTTCTTGTTCTCGAAATCACTCTCTATTACAAGACTCTTTATAGTGCCTTTCTTTTTGATCACTTTGTCTACGATCTTCGACGCACCTGAATACAGAGACGCCATCTTGGATTTGTCTTTCTAGTACTCAGTTCTTCGCGGTCATAAAATTATATATTCATATGATAATAATAAAATATTAGTTATTAATGAAATGCTTGTTATTAATATTATTTTATTTAAAAAGTACTATTATTATCATTTCTTTTTTTTTTTCTCGTTATATTATCATTAATCATTTACATTTTTAAAAATAATTTATTTATTTATCTTTTATTTTATTCCTTATTTCTTTCGTAATAAACTTTATTTTTGAATTTTTTAAATATTTATTTTTCTATTTATTTTAAAATCTTATTCATTTGATTATTTTAGTTAAAATAAATTGTTTTGGATGGCGAGAATTTTTTGGACATTTTTTTAATGGATGGGATCCCTGTGTACTGGATGGTATTCAAGATGGCGGCCGTAGTCACAGAAGAACCAGAAACACGTGAGGAACATAATGACGAAAAAATAGAGGATTTACCCCAAGATATTGAGCCTGCTGAGTCAAAAAAGAAGAAGAAAAAGAAAAAGAAAAAGAAGGGTAATCTCAATTGATATATTTCCCTCTGTTGTGTGTGTTTTATTATACAATTGCTTTTGCAGAACAGAAAGAGCACTTCATTAATTCAATATGCATTTTGAGCTTAATTTTTCTAAGGTGTTCAAAACCTGTTAGAGATTTCTTCGTTTGTAATTCAAAAACTAGCAGTTTTTACCTCCACTTCTTAATAATAATATCCCATAGCTATTTGTATTTGTCTTAATTAAGAACCAAGAAGTGTAAGGCATAAAGCTCAAGCTATGAGCTTAAATGATCTAATCCTTTTAAGAAATGTTTTCCAATGAATATCATTAGAAGCTCTTTTATCTTGCTCCATGCTGCAAAAGCTACTTAAAAATTTACAAATAACGTATAGTTTATAGATATATACACATCTTCAATGATAGATATTGTTCACATGCTTTTATTTCATATTATAATTTAAATATTATGTAATTTTAAATATTGTTAAATATTAGTTATATAGATATCATTATTTTATATATTACACATAATTCCGTCTCACGACTGCCAGGTGTACAATTTTGATAAACAATTTATCTACCTAATCTGAATTACCTCTATTTATAAACCTTATTATATACAAAAAAAACCAATTTTTTTGTTTTATCGTTAAGGCCGGTTTAGATTTTTGCCTACAACTATTGTATACAACACACTCATGTCTGTTGAGGCAAGTTGTAGGCTTGATTTACACGCTACCACTCGAGTTGTAGGATGGCACGAGCGTGTTGTGTATGATAATTGTAGGCGAAAATCGTACCGTCTAAACCGGCCTTTACAGTGCAATGCGCAAAAGTATTTAGCCACATTTAATTTATTCCCATACTTTTAGCGAGCTTTATGCTGTAAAATGAGCATCTACATGCCTCGTTTGGTAAACCCAGCCAGCTTCGCATGGAACAATCTTGGTGTACAAAAGCCAGTGCATAGAAGTATGCAAATATGTGTTGTGCTGTAATAGTTTATAAACCATGAAGATAAACCAAAAAAATTATTTACAGAATCCTTTCTTGACCAGGTGATCTTGCCTCGAAGTGCGCAAAAGATTATTTGTCAAAGTGAACAGTTTCTATTACCTAGTCGTCCCATTTTAATCAAGACAATGCTGATTTCGCTTAATTTTATTGCATTTATACTTTGTTTTTATTAATCTCAATGAGCTCTCTTGCTGATAGGGCAAGAGGAGCTTTTAGAGGAGCAGAATATATATCTTGCAAAATAATATAATTTGGTTAACAATATTATAACACTAATTACTAAATAGTACAAAATAGTGCTAATTAAACAATAGAAAACAATGCAATTTGCATGAAATAGTGCTTTTTAGTATTACTAAAGTTTCATGGTTATATTGTTTGCACTCTAGTAATCTGTATCAGTTTTTAATATTTCAAATAGTCTATCATATCTTTTGAATCTATCGTTGTCTTTTCTTGAAATGTAAATTACTGTGGACTGTTAGTGTGGGCCTGGTTATTAGGAGAATTGTGCAGAATCATGATTGTGACAATTAGCTGAGTGCTTCTTAACACTTGTCAAGTGTTCTGCTCCACCAGTGCTTGATGACTGATTTTATAACAGCCGAGTGCTCAAGCAAGTTTTTTTTCTATTTCTTTTATAGATATTGCAAACTCCAAACCCCAAAACGATCAAATAGCTAGTGAGATTTTTACAGTAGCAGTTATTTTATAATATACATAAGTCACTGTTAATTCAAGCATGACACTTTATTTCAATTCAATTTCAGTTTATTTACACTGTTTTTTTCAATTTTATATAATAGAATTATAAGAATATATATAGTTGAATAATATTTAGAATTTTTAATATAATTAACAATATAATAGGTGTAAGTGTACGACAGCCAAAGGAACTAAAGCTTTCTAGTTGGCTGTTGTAATTTTCATTTAGGGTCAAAAAAGAAAAAGAAAAAAATCAAAAAAGAAGATAAATTAAATAATTAAGTATAAATACTGTATATATATTTTTATTGATTATTAAGTAAGAATTCCTTTTACATCTGTTTGAAGGACGAATAAGGAAGACTTTTGATTGATTTGGGTATTGCTTCCCAGATATTAGAAATACTAAAATTAAATGTAAATTTACCATAATTTGTTCTTACTCGTTTTTTATAGAAATTATTATTAGATGAAAATCTTGTATTGTAAGAATGAATATCTGACACAGGTATTATAGATTCACTGAAGATAAATCCTACATTATTTTACAGCTGGAAATGATGAAAAGGAGGTTGAAAATGGTGGTGTTGATGGTGTAGTAAATGGAGAAACAACAGAAAACAAAGAAACCCAAGAAAATGCTGTGGGAGATGGTGGTGAAGACAAGGAAAAGGAAGGTAGTGTGCTACACTGTACAAGAAGATAAATTTCTTTTACCATATTTTAGTATTTAGAAGTATAAAGACTAAAACAAAGAGAGTGAGGAAGGGATGGTCTGTGGAGATGTCTCCCTATACTAGTTCATTCCTCCTCACTTCAGCTCTATTCCCATATCCACTGATTTTGTGGCTTTAGTACTAACAGAATAGGCCCTTTGCAGTTAACGGTCACGTGTCTGTACTGGAGGGCAAAATTTTCATTTTTATGTTAAATTTGTGATTCTTTTTAGCTACATGTAAAGAACAGAATGAAAAGATGTGTATCCAGTGTGTTATGAAATGTAGTTTTATTACGATCTCTTGAAACAGGTYRTAGAAAGTTTGTTTGCTMTCCAGTAAAATTAATTTCACCCATGGGAGTCAAAATGTTCATTCATTTGCTCACAGTGAATAAATCAGCATGTGATTGCTTAGCTGCAAAGGGCCTATTATAATAAAGATGTGGTGTTCAGGGATTTTTTGGCCTCTAAGGGTCTCATAAAATTCTTTCCCATGATCCCTGTGATGAGAAGTGGCACCCTGGTACCTGGTGTATGAGCTTGGGGGGAGGGGGGGTGGGGTGGTATCCTAGAATTCAAAAACCACTTACTTTCTTTAAAAGCTCTTTTGGTTACAAACAAATATTTACAAAGTTTAGAACAGAGGCAGGGCATCGTGAAAATTTATTTTTAATCCTACTCAAGAAAATGAAACAATAAAAGGACCAACCATATTTTTAATTTTTTTTATTACAGGACAAGATGAAGAAGTTGAGGCTGAAGGTGGGACGACGAGTAGCAAGAAGAAGAAGAAAAAGAAGAAGAAGAAACCTGCAGATGCAACGTCCGCCACACAAGGTATCAGTTTGCTTACTGAAATGAAATATCTATCAGAAATCAGGATTTTAAAAACCTTTTATATTATATCTACAGAAAACAGTAAGACACTAGAGCAAACTGACCCACCACCCACTGTACCCATATCTACTTTATTCCCTGATGGCAACTATCCTGAAGGAGAGATTATGAGCTATAAGGATGAGTATGTAGTTACGTACTGTATTTTATTTTTTTCTGCAGTCTGGTATACCCTAAAAATCATGCATTCTGATTGGCTGAGCCAGCAGGAAGTATTTTCTATCTCTGCCCTTTAATGAGGTTGCAATGCTAATTATATATTTTTTTTCTGGAGGAGAGGGGAGGGGGGTCAGAGAAAGAACAAAATTACAGAGTTTGTATGGAAGAAAATTTTAAGTTACTGGGGGTAGAGGGGTCCTTTTACAAATTCCCTCCTTGGTAAGGATATGGAAATTTTCTGGAACTACACATTAAGAGAGAATTCTTTTCGTATTCAAGCAGTGAGCACCAAAAACTATTCTCTTGAAGAAAGGCTGTTGTACAAGGCTAAAATCTTGATATTCAGAAAGTTTAACTTGTTTGGAAGTGGAGATGACCAATGAAAGTGGAATCAAAGTGTTAACCAAAAGCAAAAATTTTATTCCAAAATGAGGTTTAGGCCTTCATTTGCTTATTTCCCATATATTTTCTATAAAAAAGCCTGACAAGGCTACATTCTTACACAAATGCAACAAAGCATTTTTGTACAATTGAAAATAATTTTTCAAAGCGGCATTTTATCATAGTACATCAGTTTCTAACTATTAAAAAAAGGTTTTGAGTGTTAACCTAAAACGAAAATTGGGATCAAAAATCATACAAAAGTCTAGTTTTTGGCGCTTTTTGCCATCATTGCTCATTATTGGAAAAAATTTCCTTTTAATGCATTATCTGCATATTTTTAGCAACTTGTGGAGGGAAACCAATGAGGAGAAAAGAGCTCTTGATCGTCTGCATGCAGACATTTATACAGATATCAGACAAGCAGCTGAAGCCCATAGACAAGTTAGAAAACATGTTCAGAGCTACATCAAACCAGGCTTGACTATGATAGAAATATGGTAAGTACAAATATCAGATCAGTTTTAAACTTAATGCATTTAACCATGTATCACAAAAGAAAACTATAAAATATTGCAAAAAAATATTTACATCTATACATTGTTATATGATTATAAGATTATATATGAAAAAGATAATTAAAAATTTTATAATGTAATAGCACAAATTGATACCAAGAAAAATATTTAAAAAATATTAAAAAACGCGTACAAAAACGAAAACTAGCAAGCAAACGAGTTTTTTAACTAAAAGCTCTGTCTGCGTTTATTATTATGAATGTGATACTACTGATTGTGCATTCTGATTGGTGGATTACTGTGCATGTTAGTGTTCACAAATGAAGCATGGTTGCTGATACCATCTGTATATTTAGTGCTCACCTCTTATCAGTGCGACCTGGGTTCGAGTCCTGCTGGGTTTTGTTTTGGTTTCCTCCCTCCACAAAAATCAACTCCTAAATTCCAATTGGATCATGAAACCAGGGCATTGGGTTTATAAGCCACTGGCTATTAAGTGCTACGCTTGTAACTTCAAAACACAGACATGCTAAGGCTGCGTTCATATTGTATGGCAGGGGGGGGGGCAGGTAAAATTTAGGGGGGATCGGAAAATTTTTTACCAGTAATGGGGGGGGGGGGGGTTTGAAATATTTTTCCAGAGAAATGATGGGGCTTGATGCCAAATTTTTAGAAGAAGCTATGAGAGATTGCCCAGGGAATAGTTATTTTTTGGGGGACTTCAAGGGCGGTCTTAAGAATATTTTCGGCATTTAAAGATTTCACCTGCCCCCCCCCCCCCCGCCCTGCCCTCTGCCATACACAAAACTCCTAAACAAACTCTGCAAAAAAAGAAAACTGTGTTTTATCAAAATGATACAAATTACAATTACCATTACTTTGGATACTAGTTTGACGTATTACTGAATAATAGGTCATGTGTGTGCTGTGTACTCTCATAATGCATGCTCTCCCAACCAACCACAACACAAGATTTATAAAAGTTATTTTATACCTAAATTTTAGTAAGTCTATTGATGTATRTTTTTAGTGAGAGGTTGGAAGAGGCTGGCCGCAAGCTTATCAATGAAAATAAACTGAAAGCTGGTCTTGCATTCCCTACTGGCTGTTCTTTGAACCACTGTGCGGCACATTACACTCCTAATGCTGGCGACAAGACAGTTCTGAGCTATGATGATGTTTGTAAGATTGACTTTGGAACACACATTAATGGTACAGTAATTTGCATTGCTTACATATAAAAAAAAATGATTAAGTTTGCATTATCAGGGTTCGTGCTACTCCTTAATCTCCTTGAAAACTCCTTGAATTTAATTCACGTTTTCAAGGGCACTTGAAAAGCTCTTGAATTTTACGATTTTAGCGAAAATCCTGGAAAACCCCTTGAATTTTTGCTTTGATCATTACTTGCATGGTTCTGAAATAGATCTAGTCAGAAAGATTGGAAAATCTCAAAGTCGGCCATGTGCAACCACCGTGTAAAACCTTGTCATATTTAGCTGAACATACTCCTTGAAAATTTATTTTTGGGTCCATGTATACTCCTTGAATAGTCCTTTAATTTTAAGTGGTTACCTCAGCACGAACCCTGATTATGGTATCCAGCTTGTGCACTTTTTTTTTTCAACTCACAATGTGAGGATCGATTGTCTACTTGCTATTCTCAAGAGGAATTAAATTATTAAACTTTCAACTTTTTTCAATACTTTATAAATTATATACTTATTTAAATCAGTTTATGATTAGTTTTAAGTTAAAAAATAAAATTAAGATTTTTATCTTTCTCCATAGGCCGCATTGTTGACTGTGCCTTTACTGTAGCCTTTAACCCTCGTTATGACAACCTATTGGCTGCCGTCGAGGATGCTACCAATACAGGCATTAAGGTAGAAATAATTAAGTCACTTGATATTCAAAGTAATAGACTACAGTCTTATCGGGAAGGAAGTTAAGGGTATAGCTGGGGTTGCAATGCTGTCGTTAAGGGGGTGGGGGTGAAAGTTGGTTTGTTGTTTGTTGTTTTTATTAATATTCAATTTTTACTGGTGATTACATGAAACTAGATTAAACTATCAACAATTAGAAATGTCTGCAAATATATACCATAAAATCCTAATGTTGTTTTCGTGGTGTTCTAGGAAGCTGGTATTGATGTCAGATTGTGTGATGTTGGAGAAGCAATACAAGAAGTGATGGAGTCTTACGAAGTTGAATTAGATGGCAAGACATACAGAGGTATTGTACACACTGAGGAAAAATATTGGAAAATATTGCATTATTATGTATTAGCCTGCAATTTTAACTATTTTCTTTTTTCAGTTAAGCCCATTAGAAACTTAAATGGTCATTCTATTGGTCCTTATCGCATTCATGCTGGCAAGACAGTACCTATCGTCAAGGGTGGAGAAGCTACCAAGATGGAGGTACTTTATATTTCCAATGATTTTCTCCAAAGCAGTGTGTTTGTTTATGTGTTTGGAATGGGTGGGGAGGGGTGGGGAATGGGTGGGGGAAGGGTGGGGGATAGGGATTTAATTTTGAAAATTTATTACACGTACTACACAAAAATATATAAAATCAATGATATGTATATTAACAGAAAACGGTAAGCTAAAGTCCCTTAAGCGAGTAAATTCTTACCCCCCTCCCCCATATCTCTCCTTGAAGTAGGTGAGAATGAGAATTTATAAAAATTAGCTTATTTTGAGCCAATTTTCTGGCATTTGATAGCATACCCATTGCTTTATAACCAGGAAAATGAATTCTTTGCCATTGAGACATTCGGCAGCACAGGTCGAGGTGTGGTCCATGACGACATGGATTGTTCTCACTACATGAAGAACTTTGAAGCAGGACACATTCCTCTAAGGTCAGTTGATTGAACTAGTGCAGCTTCTTCTCAATATGAGCCATTTACATGATGCCYGCATTTTACTACTACTACCAAAATTTATGCTTTGCAAGTGTTTTTTTCTTATTCAAATAAATTTGTATTTCCTCATGAGAATTGGTACTAATTAACTGAACAAAAGAAAGTGTGCAACGGATTCTGGTAGTTGTAGTTGCTACTGTACATTGCTTTTGTTTCTTGAGTTTTTGTTCTTATAGCATTAATTAATATACTTCATTGGAAAGTTGAATAAACAGCTGCTATATATACCCCCCCCCAAATGTTTCCATTAGAATTCAGTAGTGAACCATGAAATAACATCTAGGCTAATCAAAGTCAGGTAATGGCATGATTCATCTGGAAGTGGTTTGAAATAACAATGATTTTTTTTTTACGGGATGTTTCAGGGTACCAAGAGCTAAGCAACTTTTGAATGTCATCAATGAGAACTTTGGGACTTTAGCCTTTTGTAGGAGATGGTTAGATCGACTTGGCCAGGTTAGTAGGTCCAAACTTGAAAGGATAGGTCCAAGAAGGTACATTTTCAGGTGTGTGGAGGGTCTGGAGAGGATATATTGTGTAGATTCAGAAAGGAATTCAGTAAGGGCACTCAAGAGTTTGGTTGCTCGAACTAAACTGGCCCAGAATAATGGTTCGGTCACTCGTAAAATATCCATCCCATCCTCACACAGGGGAATTGGAATTTGCAAGGGGTGGGGAGGGTCTGAGGATGGTATATGTGTAGTACAAGAAAATATCCATACCTCCCATGGAGGGGGATTGGAATTTCCAAGGGGTGGGGAGGGTCTGAGGAGGATATATTGCATAGTTCTAGAAAATAACCCTTATTGGGATTGGGGTGTCCAAGCGATGGGAAGGTGTGGTGTGTCACTCATTCGAAATATTATTATGTTCTAACATTGTACATTAGGACTTAAAGTGCCCCTAATGTCTAATCACAGACCTTGCGTAAGTTGAAGATATATTCATAAAAATGCAAAAATCAAAAAAAAAATTTGTCGAAATTGGGTTGCATTCCTGATGTTTAAATGATTTTGAAAACGTGCCTTTTCATATAAAGGGGGAATGGTGTGATTACGTCATTGGGGGGATACATTCCAAAAGTTGACTCCGACGAAGGACTATCGTCTGAAACATCAGTTCCTATTTTCACTACGGTGTAAAATTTATAAATCTACGATAACTGTTCCAAAAGTGAAAGACTTGCGCATTTTTACAAGTTGAATTCACTCGTACAATAAGTGAAAGCTCAATATTTCAGCATTTTTTCTTTCTTAAAACTTTTAAAAACAGCACTCTTGACCCACAAAAAAATTGGTGTATCACCCCAATGACGGAAGTCTATACAATTTTTCAGGCTCCTCGAACGCRGCACTGAAATTTCGAGCGTGAGTAGACACGAGAATTTTGCCAATTTTTTTTGTGCAGTAAAAAATCAGAAATTCGTTTGAAACGAAAAAAAAATTGAAAAACGTGTTTATGACAATGTGAGGATTTGTTCTAAATGGGTCTGTAATCAGGCATTAGGGGCACTTTAATGGACAAGTTTGGTTTAGTCAACTACTTTCCTGATAATGTTTCCAGACATTGTTAATTGCATGTGTATGAGTTTGAATTTTWAAAAAAAATTGTAAATAAGTTCTAATGAGAATGTATTTATTAATCTACAGACCAAGTACCTACTGGCCCTAAAGAACCTTTGTGATACTGGTATCATAGATGCATATCCACCTTTATGTGATATAAAAGGGTGCTATACTGCTCAATATGAGCACACTATCCTGCTCAGACCTACTGTCAAAGAGGTTATAAGTAGAGGGGAAGATTATTAGATGTGACAGTATGACAACTAGTACCTAGYTCAAACAATTCTTCTTGAAAGAAAGGGATTCCCATTTTATAGAAAATAAATAAAATGGGAATCAACAGTGGTTCCACAAAGTTTAGAATTTATTTTTGAGGAGGGAGGAAAAACAGTTCACCAGGAAAAAAACCCTTAAAGCACACAAAGGAACCTAAAAGCAACTCTATTCACATATGACTTTGAGTCAAGGAATCAAACCTGGTCATTTTGGTGAGAGCTGAGCACTCTCAACACTATGCCACACATGCTTTATATCACAGATTCTTGAACTTTTAGTGCAGTCAGTGTCTATGAGCAATGCTAGACTTGAATTTTGTGTCACCAAGACATGCAGCTCTACAAACTGTACATTCTTTTTTTCTTCAATTCTCTTTACTACTCTTTTCATTGCAAGCGCTGATTGAAACACAAATTGTGACAGGTTAATTATAGGATAATCTGATTGCCGTTGTACTGTTGTACRTTGTACGTTGCTGTTGACTGGTAATAACAATATTGGAAGTGATTTTCCCGGAAATTTAAGTTTTTCTAAGTTCTTAAAAATCAAATGATCCAAAAATTAAATAATTGCTTTGTGTACTTTGACAGTTTGTATATAACAAAACACTTATTGATTTGAACCTCGGGAAAGCAGTGTGTTTTGTGGACCCTCGACGTCTCAGGAACACAAAACACCCTGTGTGTTTTCCTCAGTCTCAGTAAATAAGTGTTAACTGTTGTATATCACTTGACCTAAASTTCAAATGATCTCAAGTAATGATCTCATTCCAATCATCAAAATGCACTGATAACTGCAAGTGAGGGTAGATAGATAGATTTAAGTGTGTCTCCATGGAATTTATTACTATAGAACCTCTATTCCTATTTAGAAATAGACCCTTCTCCATGTCCTCCAAAATGGCAGCCACAGTTTCATATTTCACTGTTTGCTGGTCAACAGACCTTTGTCCCAGTTCACTTTACTGGTCATGAAACAATGGTTTCAAATTGGGTTGGAATTGATGAGTAAAAGAGTCAACTTCAGTCTTGTCTTCAAACCATTGTTTTGTTGACATCCAAGCAAATTTGGGAAAGGTCTGTTGGTGCTACAAATGCAATAATCAGCTTGTTAATTAAAATGTTATACACAGAGCAAGTTTTGGTTATATATATTCTGTATCTGTTAGGGTATCTTTGGGGAGGAAAAGGTGTAAAAAACACGAAAAATTAACAAAAACCATGGTCTATAGTCCTTACTTTTGGGCCAAAAATGGCTCAAAATGACCCTTTTTCAAAATAAGATAATTTTTATGA